GTTTTCAATACTATGATCCCACACCTCATTTGTCACTATAGCTCACCACACACACACAAAATCTCTTTTTGTAACTGACATATAAATGCATTCCATAAAAAGACCCAAAACAATGAACGTCATGGTTAGTTTATGACTTATCTTAGTAATTAAATGTTGTTGGTGTGTGGGAAGCTGGGAGCAGATTGTGTGTTTCCTCTGCATTTGCAGCTCTAAAGCTCCCTGCTGGCAGATGAGCACTGAGCAACTCTTCACCAAAGGATCGTTCTGGTGGTGCCTTTTTCTGCTCTTCCCCAGCTGCTGGGGCAGGGACCCCACTGCCAACACCTCCCCACTGCACTATGGATGGGAGAAAAGCCCTTCCTCAGGCCCCAGAAGACCCTCAGCGGGGTCAGAGGAGGTGACAGGGTGTCAGTCGCAGGGGTGGTAATAATGAACGTTCCCCACACCCCACCGTCTGTTGGGGAGTTTCTGTCTGCACCAGTGTGGATGTTCCCCACTCGGCCTTACCCTGCTCCCATCTCTTGAGACAGGCTGGAAACACAGGAAGCCCAGAGCACTCCTCTTCAGTACCTGAGAATTACCTTTCTCCCCTTCTTGCCTTCATGCAGTCCTCTATCTCATGAGACATTTCTGTACCCAGCTGCATTCAGCTTCCTCCTCCTCCTGCCTTCCCCACAAGCCTCCTGTGTTTCCAACTCTGGCACAGTTAGATCCAAGTGTCGCTTCCAGAAAATCCCCGTGTTTCCCACCAGTGTTGCTCTGTGTGTTTTGCAAGGTCATCCTTCGGGGTTTCCCCACATAGCCCTGGGTCCATCCTCTGTAGCTTAAACATTTCCAGGTCTTGCCTGGCCTTTGTACACCATGATCATGATGAGATTTGGGGGGGCTTGATCTGTTTGTGGAGCCCCTCCATGAACAAACTGATTTCATTTGGATTCTGAAGCTTTGCTGCAAAACAAACAACACCCTAATACAATGTCACCCAAAAAGAAGGGCTGTGTGCAGCACACAGAAAGCTGTTTGAGCTACTTCATCATCCACAAACAGAACGGAGAAAGGCATTTGAGATCACGACAACCCAAACTGTGGTTATATTTATGTGCATTTTCATATGACAGCATTTTCAAAGGAAAGGTAGTATACAGACAAGGTTGGTAGTGGCATGACCAGCTTCAGGTTTTCCCAAACTTAAATATTATACAATGACTCGAACAAAATAAGTTCTCCTCTAGTACCGTTACGATGCTCACCTAGAGAAAAGGAAAGGTGACCTGTTGCACTGCAGTCACAATCACTTCTGATCCTGGATTTTGTTGAACTGCATCCGAAAATGTTGTGGCCACTGGAGGGCCCTTCCTGGGCAGCGCATTGTGGTGCTCGAGTGCTCCGATTCCGTGGGCTCTCCTGCTCTCTGCACACTTTTAGATAGTCCCTTGCCTCTCCGAAACCCAGCTCTGCCTGTTGGAGCTCTCCTTTCCCTGGCTGGCGTGCAGATGTCCTTCACTTAAGTATGGAAGAGCTTTCCAAAACTGCTGTGAGGAAAATACCTGGGTGCTACAGGAGCTCTTCGCACTCCACCTGCTTCTTTCCAAAGCCTTGCAAAATCTTCAGTGGTTTTGGTGTGTTCATGAAAGAGATGAAGGTTTCATCTCACAGTGTTTGCCGAGGCCTGGCTCCCGTTTCTCTCCAACACGTCAGTGTCTGGGATGAGTCCATGGCAGCCTGCTGGGTTGTGGAAGGAGGTTCCAGCAGCCATCCAGAGGGTCCAGCTCCCCTGGCAGCCTGGCTGATGCTGGGACAAGCTCTTTGGGATGTGTCACCCCACCTGAGGGACCCCTCAGAGAGACTCTGGCAGAGCTGCAGCAGAGCTGTGGGACACCAGTCATCATCCCTGGAGACTGGGGACCTGACCCTGAATGGCACAGCCGAGGTGCCAGAGCATCCTTGTCCCCACTGCTGCAGGGTGGCAGCGCTTCTGCCTCATCCCCTCTTTAGGCTTTTACACACAGAGCTGTGCTAGACGCACCCGGGTGTGCAGTGGTATCTAAAGCTAGTGAAGCACTGCTGGTTATCCATGATCCTGAATGGCACCGAGCCTTTGTGAGAAATACTGACAAACTGAGCTAACACTTAGTGGCACAGCCTGCCCCCAGCTTATCCCAGTGTAAAAAGCAGTACACATCAATGGGGAGCAATGCAAACGTGGGCAGAGACAAGCTGATCGCGTTCCAGATCGTAATGGTCACATTTGGTAAAGACATCTTATTTTTTTTCTTTGTTTTGTTCGGGTTTGTTTTGTTCCTTTAAAAATTGTCTTTATTGTTTTTCTCAGCCACTTTTGTATTTTGTGTTCTAAGCTTCTCACGGAACTTCCATGTAAAAGCTTCAGGACAAATTCTGCTTCAGATCTGTTAAGAGTCTGCAATAGCCAGGCTGAAATCAATACAGTTTCTGTGTACACACACATCTCCAGAATATGGCCCTTTGTTTCACAATGCCTGGCTCACCTGTATGGAAGGAAACATAGGGTATTTCTTGGTACCCCACATTAAACTCATCAGATCTCATCACAACAGATGGACTCAAAGTATCAGAGACACTGGGCCAATTAGCAGATTACAGGTTTCCATGTCAAAGACATCTGTGCTACCCTCATTTTCTCAGTTTTTAAACTGAGAAAATGGGAATTAATTTGAAATATCTTTACTTCTCTCAGCCATGATCTAGGGGCCTCAGTCCCATCTTCCAATTACTTTTTCTCTTTTTTGCCACATAGACCATGACCCAGCAGAGCACTTTGGAGCATGCTTTATTTCAAGGTTCTGAATAATTGCTGTGAAATTGTTCCTTGGGGCGTGTAAGTGCCCTTTTGAATCAAGGCCAGTGTCTTTAACTCCCAAATGAATACACAGTTTTCAGCATCAGAAATGAGTTGGTGAATTCAGCTAATAAGGAGGAATTTTATCTTTCAAAGTGTTCTGTCATATTCCGTGCAAAGAACTGAAGTGATGATGACTTGACCACCTATTTGTGCACAGCAAACCTCCATGCCCAAGGGATAGCTCACTGCTGTACCAGAAACCCCCAAATTTCCTCCAGTGAGATTCAATGCACAAAACTGCATCCTTCCTGTGAAACCTGAAGAGGTCTGCTCCAAGACACGTGAAGTTTTATGAACACTCCAGCTTCGGGCAGTGACCAACTCTAGTGCTGATGCCAGAAAACCAAATAGATTTGGTGTCCCTATGGTGAAGAAAGCCTGTCTTGCCCCACGGGCAGTGTGGTGGTACATAAGACAACTTCCCAAAGACAACACTGTACTTCCCCATCTCTCAGCTGAGACCACTGATGCATTTGTAACAGACAATACCACTGATCCCATCTGCTAGGTGGCTGCCGTGCTCTTCTCACAGGTGGCTGCGCTTCAGTGGAGCATAAAAGCATCTCTGTCCTCCCTCAGCGCAACGTGCAGGGCTTCACGTAAGATGCTTTGAGATCCTCAGCTGGCAGGTGGCAGGAGCAATTAGTCCAATTATCTGCCATAGTGCCCTGACCACCCCGAAGTGACCCGCACGCTGCCCATGTGAAATGGCAACGAGCGTCAGGAGGTGTGGTACAAACGGATGGGTGCTGTGGGGTCCCTCGGGAGGAGGCGTAATCATCGAACGAGAGACCATGACAACTATAAGCAGACAAACATATATATATATATATATATGCATTTGGACTATGAAGGAAATCACCAAATTTTAGACTGCAGAAAATGACCAAATTCCAGAATTTAGTGCCACTTGTCTCTGACTTGCTAGTAAAAAGAGAAGGAAATGTCCAAATGTGGGATGAACGAAGCAGTTCAGCTGTCAGATGTGGTATTATTTCTTCACTCTATTTCAGACAAGAAATGCAGAAGTATTCATGTGTTTTGCATTACGTGCTGCAGGCAGAAAATTCTCTCAGTAGTGTTTGGTTTGAACCTTTTCTCTCACTCTCCTTTTTCCAATAGAGACACTGGTATCAAAATACAGAGCTGAATTTAGTAAGCAGAAAACCCCAAGCCTCTCCATAGGGATTATACCATCCAGGCTTCCAGGGCAGACTCAGACAAGGCAGTGTAAGGAAAGCCCTGAATCTATCCAAACACTCTCCATGTGGTTTTCAGTCCATGGCCTTTTGATTTTTACAAGTCTGTGGAGTACTTACTGCTAAGATGTCTCCAAAACATACCTAAGAAAATTACGTCATTACCACTAAGCTTAAATTCACCTTGGAGGAGGCTTGAACCTCTGTAAGAAAAATACGGGGGGGGGGGAGGGTCCACAAGTTGTTAGAAGTTGAAAACCATTGCTCTGGTTACAAGATCAGGCTGCAATGAGCCTGCACAGCTACTTGATTCAAAATATTTACTCCCAAAATTCAGGGTATGTAGGGATGTAAAAAAAGGAACTAACACAGGAGGCTGGTAAAAACCAGCTGGCCCATACGGAGTATTAATGGACTCCCCAATACTCCAGCTGCAGGCAGCAATACCAACACTACATCAGCCTGTGTTAGTTACGGGCTAAAACACAAGAGGCAAAGAATGAACTTGGGAAAGACAGGGAGATGAAGATGACAGTATCATCATCAGATCTTGTTTTCATTGCTGATGTTGTTGCTCACTAAAATTAAGATGCTGACTAGAACTGAGCTTTTCAAAAGACTGATATTATTAGCAAGACTCTGCTGAAAGAAAAGTGTGCTCCTGCATTCCTGTGACAAGGACTGGGCTGTTTGCCATCCAAGTCATTTAAAAAGAAAACAATAAAAATCAGAGTGCTGTATGTTGGTGCTGTTGTAACCCCTCTGGTGCCGTCCTGGGTGGGGAATGCAGAAAGTCTACTCAGCAGTGTGTGTGTGGGGCTCCCACCCCAGGGTGGGGAAGGAGCCATTTCAGAACATGCACATCATGTGGGTTGGTTTGTCTCAGCCTTTTCAGTGAACACGTTGGCTGGGAGGTGCTACAATATCGTGGCTCCAGCAGCATCCACGCTCCTGGGATCCTTCAGGCCAATGATGAAACTGTTGGTTCTCCTGGCTCCATGAACTAGGGAGAGCACTTTGACTTTGTCCACTTGATGACCCCTGGCTACAAGAAATTCAATATCTTCTTCAGGAAATTCACCTGTAGGGATTTTAAAAGAGGAGTTTGTAACTGAAACCACTGTTGCCTTTGACACAAAGCTTTGTTCTAACCCTGTTGGGATCTGCAGGATGAAGGAAGCTGCCTGCAGCCTCCTCAGGTATCCCATATGGGTGACCAGCACCCACCATGCTGAGGAGCAGCACAGGCTTCTCAGAGCTGGACAGTGCTCTGTGTGGTGGGGGAAATGAGAGGATCCAGAAGACCCTTTAAAGATGTGGAAGATCTTCCTCCTTTTTGGAAAATGGGGAAAATACATTGTTGGCACCTATTGTAGTTATTCTTCTTAGAGAAGAGGCAGTCCCTGCTCTTAAGAGCTTAGTTACAAATCATAGTATTAACAGTTATTAGTCCAAATAAGATGCAAGGCAGTTCAAAACAAACAACAGTAAAACACTGCCAAACGAGACTTCGTGATAGGCCTTCCAACTTCCCCTGCTCCTATCTCTTCATCTTCCAGCCATCTACCTTAGGTTGCTGGAAAAGCTTTTCTGGTTTTATTTTGTTTATTTGATGTTTTGTAGTTTCTGCAGGAAGAGAAGTGCCCGAGGACATGAAGCTGGGGATGCAGCTGGACAAAGCAGGCACACCATGGTTATTTAAGCTAGCCACATTGCAGATGTGTTTTAACATATATCTTGTTGATGCCAAACGTCCAAACCCACAAATTAGAACCTTCTGGAGTTTTGGATTTGTTTTAATTACATTCTCGATTCCAAGTCTGCAGGTTACACTTGACAGACTTCTTCAGATGTTCCTCTGAAATGGGAAGGCCTCGAAAATCTGGCTATTTTGTATGAAATGAGAATGGAATTTCACTTATGGTTCCCTCTGGTAAGGTAGTTGACTTGATATTTGGCTTTTTGAAAAACACCAAATAGACCAAGACTTTTAATAACAAGGACAAGAGCTGCAGTACAGTCTCCAGAGTGTCAGCTGCATCTCCAGCACTGCCAAGCTACAAGCCTTGCCATAAGCTTTGCCTGCTCCTCAGCTGGTGGAGTTAAGGAACACGGACTGGAACGCAAAAGGACATCATTTATGGCAGTGGTAATAAAGTGCAGGAAGATCTGCTAGCTTCAGTACCTGTCTGGGTGAAGCTGTGCCTGCAATCCTTTTTATTTGGATACCCTTCATGCCACTGGACTGCCAAAAGGTTTTAAGGACAGGATAAGGGTGCTACCAGGATGTGAGCTGGGACAGAGGGAGGGCTGGGGAGAAGCACGTGAAAGTGTTTGGACAGGAGGAGTTGCAGGAGCCAGGGAGCATTCTCAAGACAAGAGGGAGAGGGATGGCTCAGCAAGGGCTCCAAGCTTTGAAGAAGCTAGGTGGTTGCTTTTTGTCTTCCCCAAAACCCTTTGCACCCCCTGGGGACCCTGGAACAGGGTAAGCTGTGTGCTGGGCTGTCACACTTCCACAGCAGTGTGCTAAGAAAATCCTGCTCCTTTTCTAAAGACAACCCAGCCAGTGTCCATACTCACTGTCAACCTGCAAGGTGTTGGACTGAAGCTGGGGGTGAAGTCGACCAAGTGACAAACTTTCACTCAGATTCTTGTTAAATGTTAATACATTTACCAAAACCTGAAAGAGAATAAAAGACCCTCAATAATAAAAAATAGTAATGAGAACAGGAGAAGCCAACAACTTCCTGAGCATCCCCCTAACTGGTGGCTCCAACATCTGCAGGTGCAGCAGGCAAGGAAGATTTTGAACTGTTTACCAAACTGCATGAACTAGCACAGGGTTCTGCACACATGAAGAGGCCCCTGAAATATGGGCTGTATATTGTTGGTGGAAAAGTGGTAGCTTTTGAGGCTTGCATGGGCTTTTTGTCACAGAGTTCCTGCTAAATTAGGAGAGTTGTGTGTCTGGAACATGATGTCATCTCTAAATATGTGTTTGTTGCAGCCAAAAGCTCAGCACGTGACTTCTCCACACAAAGCATTAGGAAGCGACGGTTGGCTTTAGTTTTGCTCTGAATAATGCCTTCCAAGAGGTAAGGAAAATGGGAGCCATTCTTGTTGTGCCTTTCTTTTTAGCAATCCTTTGCTGCTGTGCATGCAATCAAGCTATTGGCAAGTACTCCACCTCATTACAAATCAGAAATTAGGAGGAGTTGCCCAATTTATAGAAGTGCTGAGCAGGGAGGAATTCAGTTGAGAGTGCACTAAAAGGAGCTTTTCATAGGGAAAAGGGCTTAAAGGGCTGCCGGTCTCCTGCAATTCTCTGAATACAAAATGCTCCTTTTTTTCCCTAATGATCCTTAAGACAAGCTTTGAACAGGTATTAGAACGACACAAAACCATTACGGGTTCTGCCAAAATGCTTTTGCTCTGCAACTATGAGCGGTGCCACCAGGAAAGGTGCAAGAGAAGTAAACCAGTAGCTCTCAGAGATTTGAAAATCCAACTGCATGGAACTGGTGGCATCAAAGACTGGACTGGTAATCCTGTGGCCACCACTTTCAACACAGCCTGGGACACTGGGAGGGGAAAACCTGTACTGCAGGAGGGGGCCCTGCGCAGCACTGACCTGAACGATGCTGCTCAAGGCTCTGTCCCCGTTGTTGGCTCCCAGACATAGGTATGTCCCACACATCCCCTCGGATGGCCTCACGATGGTGGGTAAGAGGAAAGACAGGGGCCGTTTCCGAGGCTGAATGAGATTTTGCTGCAGTTGAAGAAAAGACACACCAAAAAATTTCAACAGGCCAACTAAAGCTTTGCTCAAGCTGTGCAGGTTCATTCCTTACTCTTTAGGCTGCAGCCAGCAATTGCACTTGCGTGTATTTTCAAGCATCCTCACTGCTATGGCAAAGCTCTCTGAGTTAACAGGATTTGACCTGTTTCACACCACGGCTCTCTTTTCCAGAAGGTACATGGAGCCATTCACCCACTTCTAAAGCACCAACTCAGCAAAGTGGGATGGTTTTACAATGCATGGCAAGAGGAAACAATGAGGCAGCACTGGAAGCCACCAGTACTGGTCTGTAGTTGTTTCTTTCCAAGATCTGAAGATTTTTTGCTGCTACCTGCTACTTTTAAATGTGCAGAGAGCCAATGCATAAAGAGAGTCCTTAATCCAAGTCCACTGAAAAGGGTGGTTGCTCTAAATTGCATCTGGACTGCAAGGAAAACAGGTAGCTGATACGTGCAGTGTTTTTTGATATAACTGCATTATATTGACAACTGATACACATGAAGCCTTCTGTTGACTGTTTCAGGGGCTCATATAAAGAAAAATTAGGAGCTTTCTACAGACTGTTGCCTCTCAGTTATTAATAAGGTATTAAATAGCCTCCCTGTTATGGAGATGAGAATAACGTTGAATTAAAACCCAGTACAGACAGCTCAAATAAAGAACGTGTCATGTCGTTCATTACCAGCCTAGGAATGGAGTGGTTCATTGTTTCATTTTGCCAGGAGAAGTCCAACATCTGGCTGTTCAGGAGGACTCCAGAGGGTGTCATTATTCCACTCCCAAAGGGACGATTCAAAGAACTGAAAAGAAATATGGAGAAATCTTATCAAAATCCTCCCAGAAGTTTTTGTTCATTTCAAGGCATCAGGGCTCTGATTTTCTGTCCCATCTTGGCTTGACAGAGCCCAGTTCAGATGCTCTTTAGGGCTGGCTAGCTGTGAGGAGTGAAAGTTCAATGCACTTAGGAGCAGGGGCAATGAGGGCAATAGCAACTCTGTCCCTCCCTGTGTTTAAGGACTCCTATCTAGGTGATGGATCTGTCTCCATTCCCTCATCAGTCCTCAAATCTGGCCACCACCTCTTCTCCAGGAGCAGATTCAGGCCAGTTCAGACACATTTCACTTTGAGAGGGCTGCAGGATTACACAGGGCAGAGCAGCACTAGCTCACACATCTCCCCCCCATGTTCCCCACTTCGGCTGCTGCAGGGCTAGCTGTGATAGAGCAGCCCAGCAGCTCCAGGTC